TGATATCAGTATTGTTTACATTTTAATATTTTTTAAATTTTAAAAAATTAACTATATTCCTTCATTGTCAAATGTTTGACTGACAATATATAGAACCATCCAGTATTTGTTGACAGTGACAGATACACATATATTCACATACATTTTTTGCAATGATCGCTTAGCATATGATGTTAAACATATCTAACACAAGCAATTCACATTTTTTATATCAGCTAAAACTCTTTGAATCTTCAATTTTCTGAAGATTTATATTCACATTATTAATGGGCAAATAGTAATATCCATAAATCTTACTAATTTATGACTGTTTCAGTGTATTTTTTTCTTACCCCAGTGGGAAGAAATTCACCTTTGCTGTCTGGATACCATTAGGCTTCAATCCCCTTTTTATGGATGATGGGAGGGAAAGGTTTGAGCCCCAGCCCTTCCTAAAGAGAGGGCAGTCAGGAGACACATTCTCAGTACCCTTGCTCATTACTAGTACTCTTGCTAGGTGTAAAATTTACCCTTTACGGAACATGATTAAGGACGAAAGCCACATGTTGAACTATCATCCACATTTCTCATCATGGGTGACCCTTTTCATTTGAAAGGATCCTTGTGAGTGTAACAGAGGACAATTCTGGCAAGATTTAATTATTTTAGATAAATTACCGAACTTTAAGCAAAATATGAATGCGAAAAATTATATGCCAAGTAAGCTGGCAAAAAAAGAACAAGTATTGTGAGTCTGTTTGGTCTTCAACAGTGTTTTGCTTCTAGACCAGCTGAGCCGCAGAAACTTTCAGATTAGAAATGGACAACTTGAATGGAAGCATGCTATTTGCATAATGGTTACATTTTTAATGATTAAATATAAAACAATCATGAAAATTAAATTTAGTGCGTCAGGTACGTGTTAGCTAGAAAACTCAGCACACAAAACAGTTCTAAACAACTTGGTAAAATTAATTCTTCCTTCGAAGAGGTCTGAGTACTTCAAGCTCACAGCCATACTACCCTCAGAGCAGTGTCATAGATGCCACCTAAACCACTGCAAGTCACCAACACGGTACACAGAATACATCACATCAAAGTGTGATATATTTGATTAGAAGGACTCTTGAGTTTCAAATGACACTGAAAAGATTTCCAAATTGAATTTCTAAATTCAAGCTCCCATGAAGTCTGACTGGCCACAGCTACAGTAAACAATATAGGTGAAGCCAAGCTATTACTCTCACACATAAAAAATAACTCACTATTATTTTGCCTTTTTTTATTGGAGTGCAGCACAAATACTTTCCCTGAAACAAAAACTTCAAAACACTTATGAACATAGCTGTCAAAAATATTAAATACATACATTTAAAAAAATCTAAACCAGGAATATTTAACAACCTAAGACATATTCACAATGTGATTTCTCCATCATTTACAGTATTTACCTCAAATACTGTAAGAGGATGCAAGTCTGAAAATATATGTATTTTAAGCTATCACAGAGCATAGAAAATATATGAAAATATCCACTAACATTTGGCACAATATAAATATTCTACCCCGAGAGAGAAAACAAGTGTAGTCTTTTGTGTGACACAGATCATTATTCATCATCACAAATCATGATGTTACATCAGAGAGCTGTTGCTCATGCAACAGCAGCTCTGGTTTTAGTCGGGAAAAACATGCTCCGAGCTTGTGAGGGGGGGCACAGTGGTCTGGGAGAATGCATGTTTAGGTACTCAGCCATTTAATTTAGCTGGATAAGAAACAATGTAATGTTTTCCTGTTGTTAAACATTGCCATCTGTATCTCTGGCACACAAATTAAAAAAAGAAGGGTGTGACCATTAAAAGTACGTGTCCTGAGATTTCCTTCTTCAGGGGGCAAAGAGGTTAAAATGGAAAAGCTGATCAGTGTATAAATCAGGAACACATGTGGTAATGAGAACAAACAGCAGCCAACAGGCAGGCGGGGAGGACTTCTCCAGGCACAAAATGAGATGGACAAAAATACCATCTACTGGAAAGGGAGCAGAGCAACTGCTTTTCACTTTGAAATTGGTAAGTTTAACCAATTCTATTAAGTTTTCACAATTATTTAAGTACTCATAATGAACTCTGAGTTTTAAAACTTGGTTTAACTGGAAGGTTGTCTGTCCAGTAGTGCAAAGCAGCGTTGCTTTAGCATTAATACTGGTTTCTATCTGTAGAAAATCAGAGGTTATCTTGAAGAAACACATGTAACACGACCTATGTGTTTAGTATCTGAGTGAAATAGTGAAACAGTGCAGGCGTGCATAGACTTCATCTTAAAGTTATGAAATGTTTGTGTCTGCAGCCTACCTACTGGAAGTAGATACCAACAGCCAGTCTCTTACTCAGGCTGAAACAGTTTTGCTTGATTTCTTTGGAGATAAACAGAATATTTAACATAGTAAGTTACAGTTCACTTAAAGCTAAGAAAAATAACACAATTGTGAATAATAATCCCTCTGATCCAATGCATCTGATATACCAGTGGCAGGCCCCCAAAATACTAAGTCAATTAAAATAAGCCTTTATCTTCACCTTAAGACTTGTTCCTTGACACAGACAGAAAAAATAAAGAAAACATTACAGATCACAAAGCACTGAATTTTCAAGTGTAAAGTCATACCAAAATCTTGATAAATTATCATTGATGTCGTAGGTGAGCAATCGGTCAGGAACGTCATTATGGGTGCCCTGTACTGCTAACACATGTGGTGCTAGGGCAAAGGGTACGTCACTCAGAAGATCTGACATGAAAGGGCTGCTTTCCAAATTTTGACTCCTTTGATTTCCCACCTCTGCACTCGATACAGTCAATTGCGATTGGTGCCCCGTATTTACCTAAAGAGAACAGAAGAACAGAAATTTAGACACTACAAATCAGGCAGCTAAGGCTTTGTACTTAGAACCATCATGACCTAATAATAAATGAAAACAAACAAAAAAAAGTAATAAATAAAATCAGTTTCAGAGTTTGGTTCAGGAAGATCTAAAACAGCAATTCTTAATACATGTCGATATAATTCTTTGAGTCAGGCTGACTTGAATTAAAGCTAAAACAACAACAGATTTTTTTTTTTTTATGATTAGTGGTATTTCTCCACCTAATGTTACTCTGCATTTATGAAACTCGTAAGGCTGGTGGGACCCTTTGTCATTACGTCCGGTTTTGTTTAGGGGAAATTACTTCACATAATTCCTTTCATGAACTGATGAACCTCCATCTTTTGTTCCTCCTGTGACTTTTGAGAAGTTGTCCAACAAAGGCATAACATTGATGATTAAAACCCACTCCTATTATTTTAAGGAAATACTTATTTCAAAGTATTACTGGTGTTGCTTTCCAATTTGAAATGGAATTGCATGACAGGCTGGTGAGGTCTGTTATATATGGCAATATATGCATTGCCATACTTGCTTTATAGAAAAACACAGTTAACAAAACTTTAAAAAAAAACCCCCACAAACAACAAGAACCTCTGAACCAAAACCATCAATGAAATAAAAAACCCTGCCATACATAAGAAGTCAACATAATTTACATAAAATGACAGCAGATAGGATGCTGGACCCAATGGAATTGCAAGCTTTGATATTGGCCTACCAATATGACCTTATTAAGTGTCTATCCTAAAATTTCTACTGTTTTAAAAACATAGAAAAGACTATTTACTCCGCCTCTAGAAATCAAATCTAGCTTGTTTTTACTATTTATAGCAATAAAATTCTATGCAAACTGATAGCTCTCATATCATCTCTACGAGTAAGACATTTGTTATATAGATTTTTATTTTCTATAAGCACACATACAGAAATATTCAGTAATTTGTTCAGAAGTGCTTAACAAGTCATATCAGAGCCAAGAACATTAGACATGAATTTCTGGTTGCAGTCCTGACTTCTTCCTTTCAACCCCTCAATATCCAGCACGCAGCTAGAAAAATCCATAGCTTATGCTGTTATTAGGGAAGGGAGAGCACTGAAAGCTTTAAACACTAATTTGGTGCTCAACTGATCATCATTAAGAGTTCAATGGATCTAGTTGTATGGAGTTTGCTTTCATCCTAAATTATTCCATGATTTTTAGAGGAGTTGTGTTGCTCAAGATCTGACCTGTGCTGGAGCTGAATGTTATGGATTGTCGTTGTTACAGACAACCTGAGGTTGCGGCTGTTCAACAGAAGGACAGTTTGGGTGGTGGGGCGGTGGTGGAGTTATTTGTTTTCTAGCCGGAGAATATGTAACACAGCTAAGCATTTAGCCAGGTAAGAGGCACCACATCTCCTTCTCAAAGGAAAGACTGGATTTGACTTGAACACAGCCTGAGCACTAGTCCTTCCTTACACAACCCAACAGGGTTGGACAGATAAACAAACATTAAACCTTCTATTAAACTGTCAACAATGAAACAGATAATCTTGCCAATCTAAGTCAGCACTTGTCTTAGGTGATGGATGAAGCTTGCTGTTACTGGGACAGAAGGGGTTAGTGGTGCTGCCTGCATGCTCTGAAATGGACCCTCATTTGGAAGCTTTTGTTTATACTCATGATGATTAGAAACCTAAAGCTTAAGATAAACTTCCTAAGATCCGTTACTATTATGTCACAGGATAATAATGTAAAATTTCCTAAGGTTAAGAAGTCTTATTAAAAGGAATGACTGCTAGATATAACTACTAAACTTACTGGTACTGAGAAAAGCACATTCCCAATGAGTTGCTGGGATTCACTTCCCAGAATAAATCCTGTTTGATATTTTAATTTTTTTCCCTCTCCTCTTTCAGATCACCTTCTGTCTAATTGCTGTAAGACATTTTATTTTATAGGTACCAAAATGGAAAGATTAGTCTCATCTTTGTCTATTCTTCTAGGCCACTTCAGAGCCTTCTGGAGATAGACAGGGTATGTCACTGGGTTTCTCCTGCTGTAGCAATATTCTCTAAATTACTGTAATACTGGCATGTCTGTACTACGTAATTCCTGCAGCTAGTTTGCTGATATTTCTTCTTGTTCTCCATTTCCCCTAGCTTTCCTCTTCTCAGTTCTCTATTCTTATGAGCAGCTAACAGCTCTTCAGAAAGCTACGTGCAACAGTAGAGGCAAGAGTTGATAAAGAAGATTTCTCCTACTGCAGCTTTCCAAGCTCTGAGCAAAAAACACAGACCATAGCACCGTAAGCTTGTAAGTTCAGGAAAACCCCTAAAACCTCTTGTACTCTCTGTTCTAATCATCATCGTTATCTTCAAGTCAAACATCAGCAGCTCTCACTTTAAAAGGGATTTTCACTTCTATAGCTGCTAATTGATAACACTTACAGAGAAGTCTTCCTTCTTGTCATGGCCAAACAGGCTCAATGTGTGCATAATAACAAACTTCATAAACGTCTTCTGCTACAGGCATATTCTCTTGCTAAGAACATTGCCAAACGCACAGAACACTTATTTACGTTAATGATATTTATCTGACTGCCCCCCCAATACTTCAAATAAGTACTTGAATTTGTAGCTGCTGTAAACTTTAAAACTTCCCTTAATTTCTACTCTGCACAAATTTGTTACATTCCCTCTTGAGAGAAATAACCTGTGAGGCATTTATTGAGGTGCTGGTATTTGCTTGTATTACATCAGTCCCATATTCTGAAGGAGAGAGCGGAGCCAGAAAGCCCCAAATGAGAAACAGGAAAAGGTTACATCTAGGAATCAATTAAACAAGATCTTCAAAGACCCTTCTGCCTCCCCCCACTCCCGCATTCCACAGAAAAATGATCCCTCGCTTGCTGTCCTATTCCCATAGCTCAGATGATAATCAGAAATCCCTAAAATCTAATGTTTATTTTGTTTGGCAAATTACACTTTTATGAACACCTGTTTATATCTTAATTGTCCCACAAGCTGGATGAACTCAATTTACAATGCAAATTAGACTATCACATGGCAAAACTAACTTCAAAGAGGAAAAAAAAAACTTGGGAGAGCACAAAAGGTCTTGGATCTTCTTTTTTCCTCCAGAAACCTTACATTTGTTAGAAGGGTGCCAAATGAGCAGCCCCAGAAATTAAAACCTTTTCTGCACACAGCAGATACTACGTATTGACAACGACAGAGGAAGAACCAGCTTTCTTCACTCTCAAGTCCCGCTACACGTTTCAAAGCAAGACTGCAGGAAGGAAGGATGTGATAGTCTATAGATGCTGATACTACTTGAATAGTCAAAACAGTATCATAAAGAAAGCCCAAAATGGCTGGGAGCAACATAGTACAGATAAGTCAGGAACAAAGAAAAGTGTTGGGTCAGTATAACGAATGCCATAATCTGATCTCGGATCCAATGGTCTTGGGGTCCCAGTCTACCCAGCCCCTCATGAGAAGGTCTTGGGTCCAATACAACAAGATCAGTTTACAGCAGAAATGAGAAAAGGACTTGAGATCTCCTATTTCAATTTCACACATAAACCACTACTGTCTCTCCCATAAAAATGGCTATTTTTCACTATCTTAAAATGTTCACATTCACTTTTTCATTTATAGCAAGTCACATTTTATGTTACTATTACTGGACTATGCAATGGGAAAAATACAAAACCTAGGGAGGACAATTCTTTAATGCGGTATATAAAACCCAAACATGGTAGAAAAACACTGGCCAGTTAATCTGGACACTTAACTGAAGACAGGCTGCTGGAAAACTGTCACATTTGCAGTTTAACTCCTGGAATATTGTAAAGCCCATCCTTTTATCTGGTACACAGTGTGTCGTAAGAGTTATGGCATATATTATAGACTCATAGAATGGTTTGGGTTGGAAGGGACCCCAAAGATCATCTAGTTCCAACCCCCCTGCTATGGGCAGGGACACCCTCCACTAGACCAGGTTGCCCAAAGCCCCATCCAACCTGGCCTTGAACACTTCCAGGGAGGGGGCATCCACAGCTTCTCTGGGCAACCTGTTCCAGTGCCTCATCACCCTCATCATGAAGAATTTCTTCCTAATATCTAATCTAAATCTACTCTCCTTCAGCTTAAGGCCATTACCCCTTGTCCTATCACTACATGCCCTTGTCAACAATCCCTCTCCAGCTTTCTTGGAGGCCCCTTTAGGTACTGGAAGGCTGCTATAAGGTCTCCCCAGAGCCTTCTCTTCTCCAGGCTGAGCAACCCCAACGCTCTTCGCCTGTCTTCATAGGAGAGGAGCTTCAGCTTTGTGGCCCTCCTCTGGACTCACTCCAACAGCTCCATGTCCTTATATTATCTATGTATCATATTATCTACTAGGTATCTACATACAAAGAAAAAAGTTTGTGCCCTGAACAATTCAGGTTGCAAGAAGTAATTTTTCAGTTCTGCCTAGCGCAGTCATTATAGGCAATCATTGTCCTTTGCTACGCAGAATTGTTTCTGAGTGCTCTTGCAGCGACATTTAGACAATGGCCTTGTGCAAGATCGTACCAAGCTACACATATCTTTGTGCTTCCAAATCATAAAGACATCCTTTAAATGGGCTAAGACATATTTCACTCATATGCTGGAGGATCCATATCAGTGAAAAGGTCTTGAAGCCAACCTGACCAGCAGGTTTTATAGCGACTGTGGTAATGTAATGAAGAACTGGACACTCTAGTAGAGAACATCAATCACCCCTCAACGCTGAGATGGCCCAAGCTGGTTACAGTGCAAACACCAGCACAAAGCTGTGTGATGCAATGAAAGTCAAGGTTATGAAGTGGCTTATGTTTTCACGCATGCATTCTTCAAGCTTATATAGAACTGCAAGTCCTAGAGAATTTGATATCCCACATTAGTCATGCTAGTTTCTACTGAAATGCCTAACTTATTTATCCAGAA